TCAGATGATTATACATTTTTTTGTATAAGCATTGCTAATATTTATATGTATGAATTGTATATGCAAATGAACTCGCTAAATTAATCACCGTCAACTTTATCACTTCATCACAATCTACGTCATCATCATCTATGTACGTTCACATTAATTGAGCCATCGACAATATGGGACTGCTGCTGCTGTTGTTGTTGTCGTTGGTCTTGTTGTTGTTGCTCTTGTAATATTATTATTATTAGTAGTAGCAGTAATAGTAGTAGTAGTAGTAGTAGTAGTAGTAGTAGTAGTAGTAGTAGTAGTAGTAGTAGTAGTAGTAGTAGTAGTAGTAGTAGTAGTAGTAGTTGCATATATATGTAAGTTAGATGTAAATAAACTTACGTATGATCAATAAGCAACATAAATATTATTTCTTTTCTAAGAATTTTATTAACAACTACTATTACTACTACTACTACTGCTGCCGCTACTACTTCTACTGCTTCTGCAGCTGCTCGGGCGGCTGCTGTTTTTGCAATTGTCACTACTTACAAATAATATAATAATAATAATAATAATAAAAACAATAAAATGAATGAATAATATTTTTCTCAACAGCTACGTGAACAAAATCAATACTTTGTTTAATGGAAACAAATGATAACAACCTTTGTAAACAACAACAACAACAGCAACAACAACAACAATAACAATAACAATAATAATAATATTAATAACAATAATAATAATAATTAACGTCAACAACATCATCAGCAACAAAAAACTAAATAGGACGTCAACTGTAAGATGAATAGAAACTCATTTACTGAAAATGTGAATCAAACATGCTCAAAGGGTCAAACAAACAACAACAACGACAACAACAACAACATCATTAACCACGACAGCAACAACATTAACCACAACAACAACACAGATGGCAACAACAACAACCAAATTATTATTGACAACGAGAACGACAAGTCTCTTGATTTTGAGATAACATACAACTATTGCGATCAACATTCCAAGATACCATCATCATCATCATCAGCTTCATCGTCGTCGTCATCATCGCCTTCTTCATCTTTCTCGAAAAAGCGCTCTTCCTCTATATTACCGCAATACATATCACCACCATCTTACACATCACCATCATCGTCACCCACTTCATCATCGTCGTCATCATCATCATCAATTCACAACAGCAGCAGCAGCAGCTGTGGCAGCAGCGGCAACAGCCACAACAACCCGGTCAATCCAACATGTCTGTTCAGCTTGATGTCATGCATTCTCTTCATCATAGTCTACAGTTCGAACAACACGTTAAAAATCCTGCCAACCATTGGCGATCTTAACTGCGTCAAGTTCTTCGAAGTTTCGGCCCTGGATTTTTTGCTCTTCTTCGGAAATCCACCCCATCTATTCTTATCCAGTGCGACTCATCCGATTTTAGATCTCCTCTCAGTCTTACCGTATCTAATGCATTATTTCATACCGGTTTTGTTCCCGATTTTTTTAGTCTTGACCGGCAGAGCGAGTCGAGTGGTTCGGTTTTATCGACTACTTGGCACTTGCATGTGGGCACTCTACGTTATCTGGTTCTTCGTACCGACCGCCCCCCCATGGCTGGCCAGCGAGATGGGGAACGTTGGTGAAAGGAGAGGTAGGTGTCATTTGGAGAGAGATGGAGGTGAGGGTGAGGGGATGTTGGTGGTGGGGAGGAGAGATGATGATGTCATGAAATCGGAGGGTGGTGGATTTGTGCTTCAACAACTACAGATACGCGACAGTATTTTATCGCCGCAACGGCAACAACAACCGCAACTATCACAACTTCAAAAACGTCATCAGCTGCAACATCTCCAGCAATTGAATGTTTTTCAAAAAAGCCTTATTGACAGTTACGAGGCAAAAACTAATCGTAACATTAACACAGACTTCAACTTTGACGACATCAACAGCAACAACAACAACAACAACAACAACGACAATAAAAACGACTTCAACTTAAATACAAGTTTTTCTTCTTCATCATCATCCTCTCAATCATCATCATTATCATCATCATCATTCGTAAAAAACTTAAAACGCGAAGGATGTGCTTTTGCAAGAGTTGACAAACAACTCGGGATAAACTTTTTGAAAAAAATTTTTGACGGAAATCCGGTTCCTTTCGCGTCCTTCCCATCGGGTCACGTGGCCTGGCCGGTGTGCATGGCACTGACTTCCGGTGGGCGTTTAAAAGTGAAACTGGCTTTTTGGAGTTACATCACGTGGGTGGCCTGGTCGACGATGTATTCGTGCCACCACTACTTCTCTGACGTTGTTGTCGGCGTGGCTGTCGTCTTCATCGCCGAGCTGGCCTGCAAGAAGTGGATGAGGTTTAGGAGGATTAGGAAAATCCGGAATGACAACAATAACAACAATAACACAAATGATAATAACAATAATATTATTAATTATGGCGATAATAATAATAGGAATAATTGTGAAAAAAAGTTCGATTTTGTTGAGAGTTCGGATAGAAGTCAGTTAATGACCATTGTATGTAGGTAGCTGGACAGATTATGAAAAGAATAATAATAATAATTATTACATTATTCATAATAATAATCATCTATAATGATAATTATAATTAATTATTATAATTAATAATTATAACTATTCAAATTTGAAATTTTCCATGATCCTCATTCAATAACAAAATGTGCAATGATGAATGATTTATTTCATCCCATAATCATCGTCGTCGTCATTATAATTATCATCATCATCTTCTTCATCTTCATCACCACCATAGTTTTCAACTCGATTAATGGCATATCATTATTATTGATTTTCACATTTTATTAACCTTTTGTGACCAATGATGATGTTGATTATCATCATATAAATATAAATGTAAATATATATATATATATATATATATATATATATGTATATGTATACATGTATATTTATATATATATATATATATAGTTAGACTAATATACAAAGGTATATATAATATATAGACATGTAAAGATATATAACATTTTATACGAAAGATATTTTTATATCTTAGCATTTGATATTTCACAATCTTATAGATAACCCATTTGAACCCGACGTCATCATCATCATCGTCATCATCATCATCATCATCGTCGTCGTCATCATTATCATGACTCGTGGGGCCTTATTTGCCTGACGTAAGAGTTTGTTACTTTCTATAAGTCCGGTTTTTGTCAGATTTTAATTTTTGAACTTATCTCAATTAAATATTATTTATTTGTTTATCTATATTTTAAATGTTTTTTTTCCATTTTAAGTTCAGTTTTAAATTTATTTAATTATAGGTTGAATTAATTCTCACTATAACTATTTATAAATAACCTCAACCCTTACCATTATGTCACGGTTAACAATTTAACAATATTTTTTTTTCCCGATTTTGGATTAAGTATTGAAAATATATAGTCAAAAAACGAATACACACAGGCACAGACAGACACACACAGCACACAGACAGACACACACACACACAAACAGACACAGGGACAGACACACACACACAGAGACAGACACACACATACACACAAACACACACACTATATCTATATGTACATGGTGTCTTTATTCAATTATCATCATTAATAATAATAATGCTATTTATATATGCTAAATAGATATGTTCAAAATGGAAAGTGTATTACTATTAAAAACATTTTTTATTGATTTACGTTGATTTGCCTGAAGAAATCTTGTTAATAATTTAATTTATAGAGTTATATACTTATAAAAATAATAAATAAACAAATAAATATCCATTATTTGTTTGAATTTATTGATTTGTGTGAGTTTATATGTAAGAAAATTGACAAGTTGAGCAAAAATTTCGTAAAATATATGAGAATTTTGAAGAATTTTGTAAAAGTTATCAAGTTATTTACTTGAATTTGTAAAAAAAATTAACATATTACACAAAAAATGTTTACAAATATTTGAGAAATTTAAAGAAATTAGTGTCAGTTTCGAGAAAATGTAACGACAAACAGCTGATGAAACGATTCTTAATCTTTAGCTCCTCAAAGTTTATTGTCGAAGTTGCCCTGGCAACCATTTACTTGCTCGAATGTAGTTGGAGTTTTTGAATTTATGACGAATAATATCTTGATTTGTTTATTTAAATAATAATTAAACTGATAATTAATTGAATAATATTTAAATAAATTGACTTTCACTCTGACTGGCAATATAACGGAATAATGCCTTTAATTGAAGAAATAACAACACTGACAACCGATTCAAATATTGATAGATTAGTTAAAAATAATAATAATAAAACTAATCATGAAAATAATAATAATTATATAAACAAAACGGTTGATAAAAATTTGAACGAAACTGAAAATGGCGAGCCAAACGTTGAGAAAATGAGGAAGATGAATGCGTTTGTTGAGCAACTGCTGCCTAATAACGAGCTCTTTCGTGAGGTGTCGTCTAGAAAATTCGAATCTGCAGACGAGTTTGAGAATGGCATCTTTGACACTAATCCTAATCTGAATAATTCTGGTGACAATAGAGTGGTCAAGAAAGTTTTGATCGAGGAGATTGATGCTTCGAGAGAGGATGATTGCCAGAAAGTTAAGTCCGTAGTAGGTGATGAATTTTCTGTTGCCAATGATGGAAAGTTTGCTGGTTCAAAAGCGGGCGATTCTAACAACAACAACTCGATCAAAATTGAAGTTATAAATGATGAAGATGATGATAAAAACTCAACAACTGATTCAAAAACTGCTGCAACAACTAACAACAACAATTGTTCAAGCAAAATTAAGATTGAACTCGTAGAAGATGATGAAACAATACCTGAAGAAAGTTCCTTCAATCAACCTCTACTAATCAACGACACCAACAACGACACCAAAAACGACATCAACAACCTACACGCATTTCAACAGGAAACAACAACGCCGATTAAAAAAGTTCGTCCACCGAAGCAGTCGAGGCGTGAACTGACGGAGGAGGAACTGAACAAGTACCCTCGCATGACAAAGGAGGCCCTGAAACAACTCTGCAAACAGCACAAACTCTACCAAACGCCCTACCTGAACGACATCCTCTACCTACATTTCAAAGGTTACTCAAAGATCGAGAATTTAGAGGAGTACACGGGTTTGAAATGTTTGTTTCTGGAGAGCAATGGTTTGTTAGAAATATCTGGCTTGGAGAATCAAAAGGAACTTCGCTGCCTCTACATACAACAAAATTTGATCGACAGGATTGAGAATTTAGAGCACTGCACGAAGCTCACTAACTTGAATTTATCTCAAAATCGCATCACCACGATAGAAAATCTCAGCTGTCTGCCAGAGTTGAGCAGTTTAATGATGACAAACAACTACTTGGAGACCAGCGATGATATCGAGCATCTAATCGATTGCCCGAATATTTCGGTACTCGATCTTTCGCACAATCGAATCGACGATACCGACATTGTGCACATCCTCAAACGGATGAAAAACTTGGCCGTACTAACGCTAACAGGCAACCCGGTTATCAGAAAAATTGACAATTACCGAAAAACATTAATCGTACACTTGCCGAATCTGAAACACCTCGACGATCGGCCGGTGTTCCCGCAAGAGAGGGCTTGCACCGAAGCCTGGGCCAAAGGGGGGAGAGATGCTGAGAAGAAAGAGAGAGAAAGATGGCAGGAGATGGAGAGAGAGAAGATAAGAAAAAGTGTGAGTGCTCTGTGGTCTCTGAGAGATGAGGCGAGAATTAAGAGAGAGAACAGAGAGAATGAAGAAAGAGAGAGACTTGCTCGTGGCAATACTACTACTACAACTACTACTACTACTACTACCATTTTAACTGCTTCTACTACTACTACCGCTGCGTCTACTACTTCTGATATTGATAATAATAATTTCAGTGATAATTTGAATGATGCCAGTAAGGATAATGTTAATGATGTTAGTATGGTTAGTAGTAACAGTGAGGTACGCGATGAAGAAGAGGATGATGAGGAAGAATTTGATACTGATGAAGATGATGCTGATGAAGATGATGCTGATGAAGATGATGCTGATGAAGATGATGCTGATGAAAGTGATGACAAAAATATGACGGTTTCAGAAAGTAGCGAACTCAAACGTTCATTAAATGACAAAAATGATGATAAAGTTGATAACGATGATAATAATAATATGAATAAGAATATTACTACTAATGATGATGATGATGGTGATATAAATTATAGGAATAATAATAAATTCAGCACGAGAGCTTCTTCAAGCAGGCCGCACTCAAACAAGGATGGTGGTGGCGTTGACATTCACGATAACTTCGATTTCGTTGTGACCAATTGTTGTAATAATGACGACGACGATGATGATGATGATGATGATTGTAGTCGTAATGGCAATGAAATATTAAATGATGATGAAAATATTAATAATGATGCTTCAGCTGCTCCTACTGCTGCTGCTGTTGCCTCAGACGCCACTTCAACTACTACTACTCCTACTACTTCTATTACTATTACTACTACTGATAATAACGATCATAACAATAATAATAATAATAACAGTAATAATAATAATAATAATAATAAAGTTTACCATCAGGCCAATGGCGATGCTGATGTTATCCTGAGTGATAGCGATATAAACATTCAATTTGAACTCGAACAGAGGCAGGAAAACAACAACAACAACAACAACAACAGTAATAATAATAATAATAACATTAATAATAACGGTAATAATGACAATAATAATAATAAATTTTATAATTTGAGTAAATATGAATTCGATTCAAAGTTTTATGACCAGTTGAAGCTTCAGCACGAGCGCCTGATGTCAAGATTCATGGATTTCAACATGAAACATACCAATACAAATAATAATAATAATAATGATGATGATGACGGTGTTGATGATGATGATGACAAAGATGATAACAAAAATTATGAATATGATGATGACGATAATAGCCGAACGAATGAACACGTTGGTAAATGCATTGTTGATTGTGACGACAAAATGAATGATGATGTTGGTGATGAAGATGATGGTGCTAGTGGTGATGATGATGATGAGGACGATGGTGATGGTGATGATGTTAATAAAGTTGGGATTGGTGTTGATAATGATGATAACAAAGCTTTGCTAAGAAATGACTAGAATGGCACAAATGATCATTTTTTATCGGCGGTATGACGATGTAGTTTTAAGCAATTTTTCCAATTTTCAAATGTTTCTTTCGCTGTCTTTCTCTTTCTCTCTTTCTCAATTTTTTTTCTGAATCTTCTTTCTTCTTCCTTCTCTCTCTTTTTGTTTGCTTACCCTCCCCCTTCTCTCTCTCTCTCTCTCTCTCTCTCTTAATCTTCTTAAAAGATTTATAAGTTTGGTTAATTGTATTTTCTTCCCGCCCTGACGGGATTGGTGGTTTTCATTTGTTCGTTGGTTCGTTCGTTCGTTCGTTCGTTTGTACGTTGGTTTGTTCGTTTTTTGTGTGTTCGTTTGTTTGTTTGTGTGTGCGTATGCATGTGTGTATATGTATGTATGTACTTGTGTGTTTTTGCATTTCTCGTTCGTTGATATATTCGACTTAAACATTTTTATTCCTTGATTCTGTCAACACTTTGGATAAATATATATCACAAAATTTTATTTCATAATGAAAACTAAAGATAAATTTTTTACACAAACATCATCGTCTAATCAAGCGTACAAATTTACATACATACAAACATACATACAAACGAACATACATACATACAAACAATCATACGAACATACATACAAACAAACAAACAGACAAATTCAATAACGAATTCAATTGCCTTAAGTTATTCACTAAGCAAAGTCAACCTGACTTAAATTTTATACATATTTTTGTTTTCGGTTTGAACAACTTTTACAACTAAATGCAAATAGGCACATAGAATAAACACACATACTAGAACACACATACGGCATATAGAATACTCACACATACTAGAACACACATACAAACAAATCTGTATATACGAATACAAAATATAAAACAATGCATGTACATGCCAATACTATGCATTCACTTGTGTATTAAATTTTACCGAATCAATATATACAAGTCAGTATACATACATACATACATACATACATACATACATACATACATACATACATACATACATACATACATACATACATACATACATACATACATACATACATACATACATACATACATACATACAAAGCTTAAATATTCACAGTTTCAATTCATTATTAAACTTTTACTCTCGGCATAAAATGGATTAAACAGTTTCAACAATTTTTCCTACCATATTAAACAAGGTTATTTAATTAATTGATAGACAAATATTATGGAAGTTTGTATTTTTAGTTAATTAACTCATATTTTAATCCAATTAAACTTAATTATTCAACTTAAACACACACACATAAACATAAAAATACATATACATACCTATTATTATTATTAACCTTATCTATTGATTGAAATGGCTTCAAAGCGAATTTTTAAACGAATCCCGATAAAAATATAATGAAGTTTTGTCGGTGTAGTAGTAGTAGTAGTGGTGGTTGTGGTGGTAGTAGTAATAGCCACAGCAGCAGTAGTAGTAGCAAACTAAACATTCTTTGGCAGACGGTTATACATACAAACATACGAACCGACACACACAGGCATATTTTAAAAACCATAATGTCCTTGTGCTAAATAAAGTTCCATGTATCGATTTTTCGTTCCCAAATTTAAAAGTTCAAAATATTTTTTTTCAAAAATTTTTCGTTTGAAAATTTTTCGTTTAATTTTTTTCGTATCAAGTTTTTGCGGTTCTGGTTAAAAGTGTGTGTGTATATCTTTGTATGAGTGTTTGTGTGTGTGTCTGTGTACGTGTGTGTACGTGTGTGTGTACGTGTGTGTGTACGTGTGTGTGTACGTGTGTGTGTGTGCACGTTTGCAATTACAGATAGCAATAAATCGTGGATTAAACGTTTTTCCGCGTCATCGGGAGGAAATAAAAACAAAACAAAGACAAAGTAACGAGAAGTTTTTTTTTGTTTTGAGCAGTAAATATCGCTCACTTCCTTTTTAGTAAAAAATACAAAGAAACGAGAGTTTTTTTTTTAGAAAAAAAGTAAATTGTGGATTTTTCTATACCTTTGAAAAAAAAATTTTACAAGATAGAGAGAATAAAAGAAAGAATGACTAGATAAAACTGGATGAATGAACGTTTGAATGAATGAATGAACAGATGCATTGATGAATAAAAGAATGATTGAATGAAATAATGAATGGACGAATGATGAAAAATTTCATGAATAAACAAGTGAGCCAGTCAACAAATAAACAAACTTACGAACGAACGAACGAACGCACGAACAAATGACTGAAGAATTGAAAAATGAAAGAACGAACGAATGAATGAATGAACGAATGAAGGAACGAACGAATGAATGAATGATTGCACTCTAGGACAATTTTTTAAGTGCTGGATTCCACAGACGCGTTCCTTTTTTTATTTTTCCTCTGATGAGAACATTTGAGAAAAAAAACGAAAAACAATAATAATAAAAATTATTATTATTATTATAAACACAACAACAACAATAATAAAATGGTGATGATAAGGATGAAGATTGTTAAAAACTAAAAAATAATTTTTGTCGGCTTATTCTAAAACAATGGTTATTTATATCTTTATTAACCTACCTCTCCTACCTAACAATAAAACACTTTGTAATAATAACAATAATAATATATAATAATAATAATAATAAATAATAATAATAATATTTTTGGTAGAAGTATATTTTTTGAAGCAACCATCAAATTATAAACCTTGAGAAAAAAATTTGAAAACTTTAGAACCAAGCGATGATGAAAACTGACGCCGAATGATGCTGATATGATATAATGATTTGATGAAATTTAAGCGAACCTGCACGCATATATGCCCAAACTTTCACACATACATACACACCAACACACATATATACGCACACACAAACAAATCTAAATCATCTATACACACAAACATAAAAATACACACACACTCAAACACTTCAAACCGATGTAGAAAAAATACACGCTATTGTATACAAGATAATACAAATATACACAATTATATATACATAAATACATAAAAACACATACATACAAAAACACACCCCCACAAACATACATACACGCACACATGCATATATACATACACGAATCAGACAATTTTTTATCAGAACCCAGCCATAAAGCACGCTTAAAACATAAGCTTTCCCTGTATTGGCATTCATGGATAACACAACAACATACATACAAACATACAAACTTACATGCATACCTACATACATACAAACAAACAAACAAACAAACAAACAAACAAACAAACAAACAAACAAACAAACATACATACATACATAACATACATACTTGCATACATGCATAGGTACATATTGCATCAAACAAACATTGCACATTAAAAGCTTTAATATAGAATCGCTCTTCTCTCTTTCTCTCTTTCTCTTTCTCTCTCTCTTTTCCTCTAGGCATCTCATATATAAGAACTCTTTATGAACTAAAATTCGAATGTAATAAGATTGAAAGTTTTTAAATAAGTGAAGGAATGTACGGATGGATGGATGGATAGATAGATGGATGGATGGCAGAAATAAAAATAATTAATTAGAATTATGAATGTATAATATTTGTTTTTTGTTATGAAATTTAGTCGTTTGTTTTTTGTTTTTTAAAATATTTCCTTCATTCGTTTATCAAAAAAATGTTGTTATAATATTTAGTTGGCTTAAAATTCAACAACAACATCAACAACAACATTGATAACATCAACTAATGCAACTACATCAAGACATAGAGAATCACTGAAACAACAACAACTGCATTGAAAATGATGAAAAATAAAGCAAAGGCAACAACAACAACAACAACAACCTCGTCAACGTCATCATCAACAACAATGGTGGTGACAATTTTGCTAGTTTTTTGCCTCTTTTTTTGCTTTGCATATGGCAACAACGTTAACCTCAACACGAATAAGTTGTCGATTCAACAACAGCAACAACAACAACAACATCAAACTTCTCAACATTCTCACTTAGAAAAGAACCACGCTAATCTACCTCAAACATCAACATTGTCAAAGAACTCATCAACTTCCTTCTCTAATCATCATTATCATCATCACTCTTTCTCAAGTCATCAGCATCTCTCCTCTCATCCTCATCAGCATCTCTCCTCTCATCATCATCATCATCAGCCACAGCATCGTCGTCGCCAGTTTATTATTCGTCATCATCAGCCAAATTATTTGCTTTATTCCCATCCCAATAATAATAATAATAATTTATCGCTGATTGGTGGCCAGCACCACCACCGTCCTCTTCATCACAGTCAGTTTGATCGTTCTCAACATCGGAAAGAAGAAGATGAAATGAAAGAAATTAAACAGCAGCAACAACAAAATAACCACCACCACCACAAACAGCAACAACAACATCAGCAGCAGCAACAGCCGCCACAACAACCACAGCGCCACAAGCGCCACGACATCCACGACAACTTCAGAAACGTCAACCGCGTCGACGACTACGACGAAAAGAAAGGACAGAACGTAACGAAGGAGCTGCAAGAAACCTTCCTACACCAGCAGCAGCTGGAAAACCCCGACGAGACGCCCACCATCGCCAAGTCGCCGTGGCTTCAACACTTCGAAATCTCCTCAGAAATCGCCGCCAACCGAACGCGAGATCTATTCTTCAAGAAACTCGAGGCTAAATTTAAACACAGAATCGAAGGCGCTTCTAAAAAAGACGATGACGTCATTAATAATAAGAATAATCAGAAGAGTGCAAATAATGCTGACGTTGTTGACAACGATAAAAATAGCATTCAAACTGAAGAGGTGGCCCTATGTGACAGGATGATCGGTTGGTTGTGCTGATGATAATGAAAAGAATGATGATGATGATAATGATGATGATGATGATGATGATGATGATGATGATGATGATGATGATGATGATGATGAAAAGAACGATGATGAAAAGAACGATGTCATGATGAAATATTTTTTACTAACATCATATGACAAATTAATAACTCCCATAAATATTATCAAGTTAATAATAATATGAGGCAGATATAATTAATCATAATTTATATATATAACTAATAATTATATATATTTATACCATCCTATCAATTTTTGCTTTAATAATGACTCATACGTGTTGAATGCAGTAGGAGAGATGATGAAAATGATGATGATGTCGTTGTTGTTGTTATTCATAAGGAGGGTCGCTACATACAAGACAACAGAAACATCGGCTGCTGATGTACACCCATTATGAGGCTGTAAATATTTATAAACACCAACATGCACGAAAAGTAAACACGTACAAACATACACACATATATACATACATACATAAATACAAACGTACATTCGTCAGATCATCAGAAAAAAATTATGCTGATTATAACCACAATAAAGAAAAAAGAATATTTCGAACAAAAAATTTATAAAAACAGTAATAAAAATAATTTATTATTATTATTATTTATTGTTGTTGTTATTATTATTGTTTGTGTTTTCGTCTGATTAATTTCTTTCGCGCTTGTAGACAATGCAAACAGACCCCACCTTTTTGGGAAACGAATTAAGAAGGAGAAATCGAGGAAGAGAGGATGGGAGGATTGAAATAGAGAGAAAATGAAAAAAAGAGTGAACGGGGGAGGGAAAGAAAAAAGAAAGGAGGAGAAGGGAGAGGAAGAAAAAAGTGTAAGGAAAAGAAAGAAAGAGTAAAAGAGAAAGAAAGTAAAAAAGTAAAAAGAAAAAGTGAGAGAAAGAAAGAAAGAAAACATCAAAGAAAGAGTAAAAGAGATAGAGTAAAAAAGAGAGGAAGAAAGTGAAAAGCATAAACAAATACAAACAAACAAAGAAGCAAACAAAAGGAAAGTAGTGTGGGTGGTGGTCGAATATGAAATCGTAAATCAAAAGCCCGTTAAGAAACAGAAAAGGGAGAGAGAGAGAGAGAGAGAGAGAGAGAGAAAGAAAGAATAAAAAATAAAAAGAGAGAGATTGAAGAAATGATAAGACTCCCAGTGTATAATAATTTATTTCTTGATAAGGATAATTTATTTGAAATATGAGAAGATCTTGAATGGAGGTGAGTGAACTTTTGCTTTTGTTTTTGTTGTTGTTGCTGTTTTGTTTTGATTTCGACACTAAAACAACAACAACAACAACAACAACTTCTTCAATAACATCATCAATAACATCATTGACATCAACAAAAATTTGAGCAACATTTGAAAAATAAATTTTTTTGAAATTATTATGAAAAAATTGATATAAAGTTGATCAAAGGGTATTAAATGTGAATTTGCAAAGCATTCAATGAAGGATTTTCAGACATTTTAATCAATTTTTGTACTGCCAGCGCACGCATTACGACGTAAATCGTGAATCAGAGGTTGGGTGATGAGTTTTATGCAGTCGGTATTACTAACATTTGTATTTAAATTAAGTTTCGTAATGTCTACACGTTTGTTCATTTTTTATGTTACATGTTTTGTTTGCGTTTTGGTATGTATGTTTGTGTTTTATGTATGTATGGCATGGTTGTATTTCATGTTTGTAGGTATGTTGGTATGATTGTAGGTGTGTTTGTATTTTATGTTATGTTATGTTATGTTTGTATGTTTGTATGATTTTTAATAGCGATGAAAACAACACGTTTAACCATGCGTTTGTTTGTAAAGCCTCTGTACGCTCATCTTCAAGCCCGAAGGTTAGACAAATGACTAAATAGATTGAAGGATAGATAAGAAAAAGGAATGAAAGAAAAGAATAAAGGGAATAAATTATAATAAAAAAGTGTGAACAAAGAAAGAGAAAGTGAAGGAGAGAGAGAGAGAGAAAGGGAAATAATGGAGAGAAGGAAAGTAAAAGCTAGGAACAAGAAACTACTTTTGTTATCTTAAATTTCTTAAACAGTTCAACTTAATAAATAAGGTGGATGATTTTTGTGCAGTTTCTAAGTACTTACGTGAGGCTTTGTGTGTTTGTATACATACAACACGTTTGTATGTATGCACCTGTCTGTATGCATGTTTGTTTGTATGTTTGTTGGTTTCTACCTTGTTTTGTTTGTTTGCATATAAATACGTGTGTTTGTATGTGTATGCGTATGAGCAGGGGCATCATTTCAGATTTTGGTTGGGGGGGGCGAACTTATGTGGTCTATGACTTAGCATGTAACATATATATATATATATATATATATATATATATATATATATATATATATATATATATTAATAAAGATCACTGCGTTTCTTACAGTACTCAATCTATATGATAGTTTCTCGATTCTTCGAATAATTCTCTGATCTACCAAGCTTAACTTGTTAATGTTATTAACAAAATTCCTATCTACAGAAGATGTCATTATCTACATGTATGCATATAGTACTATTTCGACTACCTAGTCTCGTCAGTGCAACATTGTAATAAATTTTACATTTTTAAAGTTTTAAAATTTCAAAATTTTTAAAGTTTTAAAATTGCCTCAACCCTGCCTCCCCCCAAATGACGCCTCTGCGTATGCGTGAGTGCGTGTGCGTGCATGTGTGTGTGTGTGTGTGTTTATTTATGTTAAATTGATAATAAAAAAAAGCTACACACAAAACTGTAGAGTCAAAAAACTCTTTAAAAAAAAGTAAACTCTGAAAGAAAATGTTGGCTTCTTGGAAAGCGAAAAAACAATTAGAAAAAACATTTACTGAGAAAAAAAATTATTTTTACGCGTCAAAGAAAAAAATAAAAACTACAACTACTACAGAACAACAACAACTACAACGACAACTACATCAGCAACAATAACAACATCAACAACATAGACAAAAAAAACAATGACATCAACAATAATTAGAATTTTTAAAACACCAAGGAAAGCGTTTAAAAAATTGCATTGCTACTTTTGCATCTTAGTTAGAAAACACTTTTTAACTGAAAAAAAACCTAAAAAAAATAGAAAAATCAAAAATAAAGGAAAAATATAAAATTAATAAAGATGGTATTGTATGAAACGAAATTGTAGACAACCATATCATCATCATAGTCATCCTCTTCATCATTATCGTCATCTTCTTCATCATCGTCGTTGTAAGTTGTTGTTAGTTTGACCATTTTTCAACATTTAATCAGTTTTTTCCTTGTTTTTTATTCATTGAATGACTTAGTTTTTTTAAATAGTTTTTTTCAATTTTGTGGTTTCTTTTCTTTCTTTCGCTTATTTTTAGTCTTTCTCTTTTTATTTTTCTTCTCTCTCACTCTCTCTCTCTTTCTCCCAGTTTTTCCAAAAAATTTTTTGGCAATTTGATATCAGCCTATATATTGACTTAACTGTTCATCTATCGATTCCTCCATCCATCTTTTCATCCATTCATTCATTCATCCATCTATCCAACTATCCATCCGACTATCAATCCGTTCGTTCAATCATACGTTTTTACTGTTCACGAGTTCATACATGTATGTTTTACGTATTCATTCATGTATGTATGTGTGTTTGTTTGTATTTTTGTTCAGTTGTATGTCAACTGTAGGTTAGGGTTAGTATGTGTGTGTGTTTGTATGTTTGTATGTATATTTGTCTAACAGTTTCATGTTACAGTTTTTTGGCGAAATTTAATATTGTTTGGATTATGAAAAGAAAATTTTTTGCACTTGTATACTGTTACGCTGAATTTTTTAAAATAATTTAAATTGCTATTAACACTCTTAAAATTGGATGGATGGATGGATGCATGGATGCATGCATGCATGAATGGATTGATTGATAAATGGATAAGTGAATGAGTGAATGAATGAATGATTGGATGAATTACATATGAACGAACCAATAAGAAGAATGGATGACTACTACCGTTACTAATATTACGAATGGATGGACAAATAAACGAACGAGAGAATGAAAAAATCAATAAATGAATAAAAAACATTCAACCTACAAGACTGAAAAATTAAACCAACCATTCATCTGTCTACAACTATTTAAAGAAGAAAGCCCAATTAAAATTAATTATGTTACGTGTATTTGTTTACTTCAGACTATAGACAAAAATCTCAGTTTACATTTGAACGTTTAAACATTTTTTAGGACAAGTATTTTACTGCTACTACTACTACTACTACTTCTACTACTACTACTTTTTCTACTACTACTATTACTACTTCTATACTATCACTATTACTAACACTATTATTAATAATATTTCTCTTTGTGCCCATTTAAAATGTATGGCGAGCATTGTAGAATATCTATGTAATTTTCATTAAAAGTTATATTATTTTAACTTCATAATTGCAACGTATGTTTTAAAACGAAAATAGAAGGATGTTTTCATTTTTAATACTACAACTGGTGTTGGTGTTGAGGATTGAAAGCACAAAACACTCACACCCACCTACACAGGTACGGCCAAGCAGAAGGAGAAAAAGAAGAAGATCCCGGTGAAAGTTGCCGTCCCGAAGATCCCGGCCAACTTCACACTGACGAGTGTTGAAATCCGTGTCACGTACAACATTAAAAACGCCAGCCTGCTTAAGAAGAAGCAGCAGCAGCAGACGAAGTGGAAGAAAAAGTTTGGGAAAATATTTTTTGAAATTTATGGATTCAGCAAAAGAGCGCTGAGAGAAAGACGGAAAAAGATTTTAGCGCCAACAACAGCCAATAGAAAGTCGAGATCAACAACAACAACAACAACAACAACAACAACGTCATCATCATTGTCATCATCAAACAACAACAACACGAATGAATATTTTTCAATCAGTCCAAAGAACAGAGAGGAGTTGGCCACTCACCAATTCATACCGGACGGTGAGACGACCATGAAGACGTTCACACTACCTCTCTCCTACTTTAAAGAGCTCCTGAGATCAAAGATGGATCCATGGCTGTTTGTCGTTGAGTGTAAAAACTGCTGTCCAACTGCTGCTGCTGCTGCCGCTACTACTACTACTGCTAGTGGTGGTGGTGGTAGTGGAAAGTTGAGAGTTTCAACTTCATCTTCACCATCTTCATCGTTATCATCACCGTATTCTTCATCAAAATCGTCATCAGCATCTTTGCAATCATCAGCTTTGTTGACGTCATCATCGTCGTCGTCATCATTATACTTATCTTCTCTATCACAGAAGCCGGCAACCTCACCATCGTCATCATCTTACATACCATCATCATCTTCTTCATTATATATACCATTAACTTCGTCTTCATCGTTGTCATCATCGCCATCATCATCGTCTCAATCATCATCATCTTCTTCTTCTTCATCATCATCATCTTCTTCTTCATCATCATCATCGGCATATTCACCAC